ATAAATGATCAGATGTTACAAGTACGATCACGATCGGGTGTAGCACGAACGACTACAAGTCGATCTTCTGGCTCCGTCAGTAGTAACATGGCGTCATTGTCGCTTTCGTTGTCATCAACTGGACAATCAGATTCTGAATCAAGCGTTGTCGGTGTTACGCCGACAACTGAATCTTATTACGATTATAACGGAGTTGATGGTGGCACAGAAGCTGAGGTTTGTAATAATCGCTTACCACTTAAGCTGTTTACTTTTTCTTGTTACCGCGACTACTTCTGGTGGGCGTGGCGAAGTGGTCGTGCCCGACGGGCGAGTTGACCTGCCTGGTTATTTGGAGTGTTAATGAGACGGCGAAATTCAATATCGCCTGTGGAGTCTTGCCCATGGAGTCTCATGTCCGCTTTAATTCATATGAATATCGCTGCTCTTTTTGACAAAGTGATGCACGCTTGGTAAGTTTGCCGCTCATCGCCGCACGGTACGTCGTGCGCGACGGCGCGACAAATTACGGCTGTCTTGTCCGTTTCCCCTATAGACGCACTCCGGGATTTTTCGGTAGATAGAATCCCCTCTTTGTACGACTTGCCCCCTCGGCAATCTCAAAGCTTTTCTCCTTTACACGCCTACGCAATGAGCGACGAAGGCGCCCCACTCCTGTCATGAGCCAAAGATGCGCCACCCATAGAGTGTGCTTCACCCATCTTCGGACGAGTTACGCCAGCGTCCCTATGTAAGATGTGACACGTTGTTCCATCAAGCGTGGAATCTACCTTGTCGTTTGGCTCGTTTGTTAGTTCATATTCCACTTCCCTCATCCATTGTCTGCTACTCACCCGCGCAACGTTGTCTCGCTTCTTCAAACACGCGTCCAGTGCCGGGGCCTTATGCATTCAGCTTTCAATGGTTATCCCGCTTTTTTCTTCCCAACTGTGTTAATTTCAGCATCTACGAAGTCGTACTGATCGAACCTTCAAATGAGTTATTTATTTGTTGAATAATAATTATTTTCAGATAAAACGGCCACCAGATAGTGCATGCCCGCAATGCCGAAAATCTTATCCTCGGTGCTCGCTTTGCGGGTTGTCGTATGGTACGCCAGTTAATGACTACGATCATCCGGCGGGATCGTTCTCAATGATGTTCTCCACATGTTTGGTACGTTCTGTCCCTACCTTGAGTTGACTGTCGTGTTGTGTCTTTTTTACCAGTACGTGAAAAAGTGCTAGTAGCTACCGTTTCTAGCAGCGTCATTAGGAAAACTGCTTTGTGTTTTGCATCCTGTGTGCTGTCTAAGTCTGAATGTTTTTCCTAATTTTTGTATGTATTCAAATTTCCTAAATTATAGATGTGCAATCATGGAGGGCACATGAAACATGTGATCTCGTGGTTTGAAAAGGAAGACGAGTGTCCGGTATTAGGGTGTGATTGCAGGTAATTTTTATAATGGTAACCAGTTTGAATACGAAATGCCAGATAGTCTATTATTGAAGTGCGTAGTTGGTAATTTGAAATAGATCTGCTAACGGGAATGTACTGGACTTGAACGAAAAAGGCTAATATTCTCGACGGTGATGTCTTGTTTGCTACGGTACTGAGGCCTATCTGTGGGCTGGGTTTGGAGCTGCACCAAATCGTTCTTCACCAATCGGAAGCTGGCATGCGACCACAGTTGGTGGAGAACGGACCGATGGCACGTTGAACCTAGCCCCTGACATGCCCCGATCCGCAGCGACTACTCTCATAGATCGTACTTTCACAGAAAATCGTTTCGTTTTAATGCGATATGGCCTGAACAATGATTTGCCAAGCGATATACAGGTCGGTGCTTAATCGTGGCCGGATTGGTGCCAGTTCTGCGACTTTGTAGAAATTGCAGGCGTGGTTGCCCACAACGCAAGTTGGTCTGAATTTTGACCTCGGACTGTGAGCGTGGTAAACGGCGAGTCCGGGTATGTGACAGGACAATCGTAATATGTCACGTTGGTGCGAAGACGCGCGGGACTAGTTGGCTGTTTGAATTCCGGTGCTAAGGGACGGGAAAATTCGATGTAGCCCTTTATTGATTCTATCTTCCCTTGGATTTAGACCAGTTTCGTTATTGCATTTGACTAACTGATAAACACCGCTGGTTTGCCGCACATCGTTGCACGATACGCCACACGCAACGACGCGACAAATTACGATTGTCTTGTCCGTTTTCGCGACTCCTAACATTACACCATCTCGATCCTCATTACACCTGGGAAGTTTTTCAAAATGTGGGACATTTAGCCCGCCTCAGAGGTACATCATCTTAAAAACAGGCGGCAGAATGCTACTTGCCAGTAAATGTCAAGCGAACCACTTCAGCATCTTTGCATGTTTTGCAAATTCTTGGTAGGGCTAAGTCTGCGATTTCACGTCAGACGCCCACGTAGACGCCTGGTAGAGAGATATATTTTAGTGGCTAGAGGCGCCGGTCTTGATCTCACGGCCTGAGTTAGATGCCGCTCAAACTTTCGTACGAGACTGATCGATTCCAAATTACGTGAGGCTTAACGACTGGGAAGTTCCCGTTCGGGAGGGGAAGGGTCGTAGATGTTCTCGCTTCGAGAGAGAAGGGTTGAATCTCCCTTGTTGGTGGCACAGTCAAGGGCACATGCGACTACTATTTTAGGTAGTTCAAATTTGTAGCTGTTTGATGGCGACCTTTTTCCCTCTCCCTCACTCCGCTTGACAGCAGAATTTCGGGTAAAAACCCGAGGAGACTTCTCAAAAATGCTGGAAAAAAATGGATATGAAGTTGAGGATACACACTAAGATGATGGGGTGAGGGGGCTCACATCAGAGTAGGACGTTCAGGGAGGGGATAGTCGTATTTTGCAGAAACGTACCCAAGCAACAGGACGTGCCCTGTCTAAAAGTCGCTGACTGCGAGTAAAAGCCGAATACGTGGCATATCATTGAGAAATCAATACGTATCAATCGCATACCTCGTCTTTTGACTTCATTGCTTAGAACGTATTATTTTTCAGGTGCTTGTATCTTGAAAACGGCATTAGTGGACGTATTAAACAAAAAATCTTGACCTCTTTCTAATGTGTCTGCTTTAAGTGAAGCTGAATTGAAGTTGTACTGTTGACTACTTTACCTACCTCACCTAGTTTCTACTGTTAAATGCAATTTCACTCTTTCATGACCCATGCCTTATGTCTTTTTGTCATGGTTATTAACAGGTTTGTCTAATAATGCTCTTACGTACCTCCAAGGAGAGCGATCTCATTGTGAATGCTTAGTGATATTCGTGATTCCCCGTGCCACTGTGTTGATATATTCTATATTTTTTTTGTAAATACGCTTGGTTACAAAGCAGCTGTTGCGTTCTTTGTATTCGTCTTATTAAATTCTGCTAGCCAAATTTATACCTGGGTATTTGAATCTGCCTGGGTACTTGAGTTTCTTTTAAGCCAACTGCTGTTATTTTCTCAACTTGCCAATTTTAAGTTTTTCATGAAGAGATGATTTTGAAGAATTTCTATCCTAGCTAACCTTTGTTCCATTTTTTGTCTATCAAGTTGTGAGTAGTTTCCAACGTACTGATTTCAGCAAAGGCTAAGTTTAAAGGAAGTGGGCACGATGGATGGGGGCGGGCATTCGCTGTCAGTGTCAGTGGTGGAAGGGCTGCGGGAAGACGTTTAGCCACACCCCACTCTGACCTTCCACCAGTAACGTTGGCAGCGACAGCCCGCCTCCAGCAGTCGTGCCCACAGCCTCTAAAGCGGCCAAGTGATTTTCGAATTTCGCTCCTCTATTTCGTGGTAGATGGCAGCCTGCTTTGGATGTGGCCCAGGATACGGTAGGCGCGCCATGACGCTAAAGCATCAACTAATTTACTAGCAAGTTGTCTCGACACAGTTTAGCGCCAAACCAACTAAGCCGCGGCAACGTACTTCCAACACAATTTGTTTCGCGCCATTATTTTTTGAAGACCACGGATCGATAGATTGCTTTACTGTTTCAACTTTTGAGGGTCACTAGTTGAATTTTCAAGGGCTTTGGTTGAATGAGCGCCTTCTTCCTTCAGAACTTTGTGGTGGACGGAATCCTGCGGTGATATTCAAAACCTGAAGGGGAAGAGTATAAGCTTAGTGTTGTGGTATCCTGGTGCCTCATTAAGATCCAAAAGATTTTCCGAAACCTCGTTAGGATCCAGAGGATCATATAAAAGATGGGGGGGGGGGAGATCTCCTGTAGAAAGGAACTCCGACGATTTCAAAAGTAGCCCGAATGTCAAATGTTCTTGCAATTTTTGTAGTTGAGAAATTTTCGCAAGAACAAGATTTTTTGGCCTTTCTGTAGCCTTTCGATCGAATTTTTCAAGGTATGGCGGGAAATAGACGGTTCAGAGAGTAGGACTTTCCGTCCTCGTTTGACCCCGAAAGCTGTGTCGGAGCAACTTCCTAAGAACGTCACTCGTCTACACAGCGCTCCTGCTATCATTCCTACAGTCTCGTTCGCTGCGAATATAAGAGCGCATCAGAGGAGATGGGTTTGGCGCGGCGCCAAACCCGTCTCATTGGTGAAAAGGGCTGCCCTGGCTGCCCCATGCCCCTTCACATGCCCTCTCATTCCAGGAATGGGATCCCGACCAAGTGTTTCGTCATACTTGTGTTCACCAAAGTTTAGAATCCTGACTTTCAACTCTGTACTGTTGTAACGAACGAGACGAACGTTTGAGGCAAGCTGGTGACATGATTTGTTTCAGAAAGTAACGTGGCATGTTCTTTGTTTACGCTCAGTTTTTTTTTGCTTCCATGACTTTTTTCGGTTTCGCAGACGAAAATTGCTTTTTGCTTACTTTAACTTGCCAACAAATGTAAAGTATTTTAGGACGTATTTTGTTATGCGCTAATACAGAGTTGTATTTGTTATCTGATGAATTGTTGAGTTTAAAAGTGTTCTTTTGTGAAAGTTTTTATGAAGGGTCTGTGGTGCTCAGTTTTTCCTATGATTTCGCGCAGGATTCAGAGCACTAAGCGCTGAGGAGATAAGTTTGCCGGATTTGAGCGCCTTCTCGGTTAAATAATAAGGGCGAAAAGGAGGGAGGGTGTGCCGTGTGAAAGATTGAAAATTACTGTACATTTCATGGCTCAACCAAGTCAACTAATATTTAGGAGCAAGAGAAGCCCATCGGGGTCGTATCTCTTCTGCAGGGGTCGCATGTGGCCTTGAAAGGAAATTTCCCGCGGCATGAGTAGTTTTTCCGCTTGTCGATTTTTCCCGTTTCATGCGCCTCAAACCCCTTCGCCCCACCCACTCCCCTGGTGATACCGCAATGCTACTACAGAACTTCTATTTTACTGCTATTTCCTGATGAATGATTGCAGATGATTTCCTGCTCCAGTTTTTTTAGAGGAGCTTATGAAAATTTTCGGAAAATCGGTAGGCAGTTTGAAGGGTCTGCAGAGATGTCAGGAAAGATAAGGAAGGGGAGAGGGTGGTAGCGCAGGGAGATTTTTCGAGGGATCGTGCTGACACCGTCTCGTTCTTAACGAATGCTGATGGTGCGGCTCGGTTTCGGGCGGAGCCAGCCCGTTCTACACCTATTGTGGAAGCTGGCAGCCGACCGTAATTGGTGAAAAACTGGCTGGTGCCACGCCACAACCAGGTCCCGACACCCCCACCACATAGCCCGCAGCGAACAAGGCTGACTATATATATTGACTTGGGCATTATTCTGCTCACTGAGTCCCGGTGCCGACAAAGGCAGTGGGCACGATGGGTGTGGAGAGAGGGGGTGGGAAAACTGCCAGCGCCAATGGTGGGCATTGGTGGAAGCCTGAGTGGGTGTGACCAAACGCCCTCTGGCAGACATTCCACCAATGACGGCAATAACACCCGCCCCCAGCCATTGCACCCGCTGCCTTTAAGTGCCAGGTAGAAGCCAACGACCGGCAGCCGAAGCAAAGCAACAGTTGTATAAGACTAGTTTTATGGATCCTCTGTCACCTTTATACAAGGATACGCAAGGTTTGTCAGAACTGTACAACTATTTTTATGTTGTCTTCGAGTATTATCTTATTAAGTCGCTTCAGGTGAGTTGTAGCTCTGGTCCATTGCTAATCTTAGGTCAGCATTTTCTCTTGGGTATTTCTTGCAATTTCCATAAGACGTTGAGGAGACCTGTCGAAGAGCTCGCTCCTGTAAGCAACGTATTGAGAGGAGATTATAAGTGTTTCGAGCAGAAGAATATAAGAAAGTGATAGCTGTGAAAGGAGTCTAATCGCTCCCTCATACTCGTATTACCTACTTTTCTGGTAGAAGTAGTCGTGTTGCTAGTAGAGATAATAGTGTCATTTCGCATATAAGGGCAAAGTTGTATATAACTAAAACAAAATAGTATAAGTGACTTTTTTAGAGCAGAGGAGGATAACAGACTTTATATGACCGTGACTCTTACATTTAACGTTGTTCAAGGCGGATAGGATTGGTCCACAGTCGATAATGCCGATTCCCAAGAAAATCGGTTGGAATATCAGTAGCATTTGAGCAGTATATAATACCAAAGTGATGTCAACAAAACGGAATATGGTCCCGACTTTGTATTTTTCAACATGCTCCTGAAACATGCTATAATTAGTTCTATTCTTATAGGACTGCATAAAGTTCTTCCTCAATGAGGAATGTGACCAGTGGTGGGGTGACTCCAGATGACGGACAGAGGGCGAATCCCTCACCAAAGGGCCGCCACGTTCTTACACTTCTTGCACCTGAACGTACACTCAATCACAGGTCGGGACTCTTGCTTCTGTAGCGCTCAGCCTTCTGTGGTCCCTCGGTTTGGGCTAGGTTGCATTTGATAGTGGCCTCGCATTTATGGACTTATGAGCTCCAGGCACAGGCACTCCTTATCCTCAGTATAAACGAGACATCACTGGTTACATTAAGACGAAAATATTGAGGGTTTGAAATATTACAAAGCTCTCATCTATTGGGCATCGTTGTCAGTATTCGGAACCCTCGGAATGATTCACACTTGATTCTGTTTGTGTTCTTTGTGAGGCTCAAAGTTATGAGCTTTTGCCGTCGATCACTCCCTACCTGGGATCCAGCACGCGTTCTACTTCCATTCATTAGAAACAAAGGAAAATGATATTGGTGACTGATCATGACTGTTCCACCAACCCCGAGGTATCATCAATGAGGTAGGGTTGACGAAACAAGGACAGGGACTACACAAGGGAAAGAGCTGTAAAAAATGAGAAGAGTGTTGTTAGATAGGTCTTCATGCAAAACTATCCCCTGTATATATTTGTAAACCAGAAGTTGTCTGTGTGTCTGTCTGTGTCTGTCCGGAAATTCGGCATCACCTGAAGAGCCGGTTTGAGGGGCCGGGTCAAGGGTGGGTTGGGTAGGGCATGGGCCAAGATGTACGGAACACACATGAACTAAGCTAAGCCCCGCCCACTGTGGGCGGGGCGTGCGCACAGTTGTGAGCTACATATTTCAAAAATTCGTAAATCGGTTCCAAAAGAGCCCGGAGAGTGGAAAATATGGGAAGCGATAGGAAACCAATTAGCGATCACAATGAGGGAGACACAGTCCTTATGGGCGGGGCTGCCATAGGTGGGCGGTGCTTGCTACAAAACATTCAAAATTCGTAATTCGGTTCCAGAACGGCCCGGAGAGTGGAAAATGTGGGAAACGGTAGAGAATGAATAGGTGGACGGATGGGGGAGGCACACCTGCTGTGAACGTGGCTTGAATCAGAATTTCGTATTACCATTAGCATACGTAAGGGCGAAGCTTCAGTCAAAGTACTAAATACCTCCTCTGAAAATTGGCGCACTATTACTTCTCCTAAACGCACCCAGCTTCGTTCTGATAATCTATCAGGTTGTGTGTACCTACGCTGAACACGGCGAAGCTGGCCGCTCCGACTGGCCCCCTATTTTTTGGAAATGTGTGGGGGAGAGTCACTTCACACGCAGAAGGAGGATCGGCCGGCGCCTCCGGCCGATCCGATTGGTACAGTAACGAGGAGGTAAAAGGAATGGGGACAGAATCGAATGAAGGATATCATATGAAGTATGTAATATGTACATGTAAACAGTAGAAAACAAAAAAGTGGAGTGGTAAAGGAGAGTTAGTGCTGAACGCTGTTGCCACTGAGAATACTTTTAACCAGTCCTACTTATCTTTTTATAGTTATTTGCAATAGAGTATTTATAACTTATAAATTTATTTTTGTAAATACATTTCACAATGCTAGTAATAATAAGTCTTTTCGTAGCCATTTCTCAAAAGCGTCGAAACCATATCCGTTATTTTGTTTACGAATACATCGAAAACGAACAGGTGCCTCGTTAATAAGGGAAATATTTGTGTCACTATATGGAAATCTGATTACCTTGAAGTTAAAATCATCCGTTTTATTATACAACTTGTACTAATTTTACCGTTCATTATAGTTATTGTTAAATCTGAGTAATTACTGGAAAATCATTTGATATCAATATAAGTAGCATAGGGCTAATAGAGCACTAGTTTGCACAAAGCCTGTGAAGTAATTGCACAGGCATGTGTAGGCAAGCGCCGATGCTTTAGGAACGGTTATATCTTTTTGAGTGTTTGTAAAAGAACAAGTGCATATCAACCAATGCTTCGGCGGGAGACAGGCAAGAGAATCGTAATTTGCCGCTCCGCCGCGCGCGGCGATGGGCGAGGCGTTTAGTTCCTCGTTTTAACCTGTCGATTGGAGCACCGGTATTCACATGGGCTACAAAGCTGTTGTCAATTATGACCTTTTTCGGATCTAAATTGCTTGTTGCCCCTATCTACGACATGAAACCATCGTCATTTACGGGCGCAACGTCGTACGCGACGCCAATCAGGGCGGCGCATTACGTTGTTACTCCTTATCCCTGAGACAGGGTAGGCGTGGCTTTTGTACATGGCACGGAATCGGTTACTCGTGGAATATTCCAGTCTGGGACAACTGTCATCTTGTTCTTTGTTGCTGGACAGAAGGAGACAACAAAGGAACAACAAGTCGAGCCACCCCCCGCCCCCATGTGTTAAAGCTGAGACTATTCACTAAAGACTAGCTAGACACCTTTTCCAGCTCCCTGCACCCGGTAAGTTGAAGAATGCTAGGCCACGGCCTCCGGTCTCAGGATTATCGAGCATGTACCTATGTGATGGACACATTAACATTGCTCTGAGCTATGGTTGGATTTATCACACTTTTAAAACAAGTGTGCGTTTTCATGCAGTCGTCGAAATGTGATACATTGGAGAAATGCGAGCCACAATAGCACCGATTCAGAGGAAGCTCGGTGGATTTTGAAAATGCAAGACTCTAAGATCGGCATAGAAAACGGCACTGTTTACCCTTCACTGCCCAATCGTCCGGAACAAGACTGATTTTTGACCGACTCTTTCTACTTTGACAGAATTTGTCAGCTAAAATATTTGTTCTCTGGTAGTTTGCCCGTCCCAATTATGGGAAATATCACATCTTCTCGGCATAAAAGTACTGGCGCCAATGACCCAAATACCGGCGCTGTTCGGCGCTGGGCAACCAAAGCGGTTTGGCGGGGCCTGAGCGATGTAACATTCGTTACTTCTCATCATTACGGACTGTGCGAGGGGCTATCAAGCCAGTAGGATGTGCCGCACACCGTTTAAGCGCTGTTCCGTTGGGTCGTTGAAACGCTCGTACCTGCGACAAAAAGTGTTTTAGCAAAACGGGTATAGAAGGGATATAATATGTTATGTCATTTTGATCGCTTCAACAACTGGTGCAGAAAGACTTTGGCACCGCGGAAAACGCAGCCGCACTGACCCGCCCCGACAGTCCGTAATGATGAGGAGAGTATTTAGGAGGTCGAACTACCCCAGCAGACATCATTTAAGCCAAATCTGTCCATGGAGAAAAAAGTCGTTCAAAAACTGGCTCGATTATGGACGATTGGGGCAGTGAGGGGTAAACAGTGCCAAAATTTCTTTCACATTTCGTAGGTTTAATACTATTTACTCTACTGCTTTCCATGATATACTTTGTTCTGGTTGTGTCTGTCATGAAAGGTAAGCGAGCATAGGCGACCCCACAGGCGAGTCTGCCAAGGGGCAAAAAAGGAGAGAAGAGAGTATCTTTCAAGAAAGTCCTACACCCGACTTATAGTTCTGATCCCTGTGAAGTGGAGGTTGTGAGAAGGTACGTGAATTGGAGTGCAGTCAGAGCGGCCTTTCCTACCAACTGACGTCATCCTGAGCCAGCAGTAATGGGTGGAAACAACTGTACTGGCTGCGCTCCGATTCACTCCCCTTCACACGCCCTCACGTCTGCAGGCACAACCATGGTCCCTGCGGACGATAGGACGTATGTGTCAAGGAAATATGAACGTAGTACGGTGACCACCCATTGTCAACAAATGATCACATTTAGGTGCCAAATAGTACCATTTGATCTTTACTTATAGGTTTTGACAAGAATGTTTGACCAGGGCCTACCAGTATAAAAAGGCGTCGATTTTTCACTAACCGTTCGTCTTCGTATTCTCTAGTAAACTTTCCTGCTTCAACTTCACAACAGTTTGATGGGGCATGGTATGCAACGCAGCCAAATCAGATTCTCGATAAGCTGTACCGAGCTCAGGATGGCATCAACATTGGAAAACGTTGCCTTGGCTGCGCTGCGGTTTCGCACGCCCTATCGTTTGCAGGGATCATGACTGTATCAAGACTTTACGCAATGGCTTGAGTGGTTAGCTCATGTACAGACAGAGGTTTTCATCCTTCTAGATTTGCGTGGTACCGAATTACCCGGAAGTAAGAAAGACTTGCTTATCTTGGGTGGGAGCCCATTTGGGGGCTGGCATATGGACCGGACGCTAGGGAAGTGAGCCATTTCCCACTGGACCACTTTGGCCCGTCGAAGTTGACGTGAGTCGCTGTCACTGAGGCGTTAGAGGCAGCGTGTAAAGTTGCTGCCTCAGATGTATGGAGTCGGATCAGAAGAGAAAAGAATATCAGAGTGACACTGACTAGCTCCCCGTCGCGGCAGTGACATAATTTTTGTGGTCGAATTATAATTTGAATATTATTATAATTTGTATATTATTATTTATTGATTCTATGTTTTTGTAGCTAACTCACCGCCGACAGTTTTCCCATTATATGTGCTCCAAATATTGTGAAAAGCAGAGAAGGAGCCCCAGCGGCCTCAGTCATTTGGAGAGAGCTGTAACGAACTATTGTGTTTCCGGTTTCGACAGGTTTGATCAAATATAATATGATAGAAGCAATTAGTTCCGTAGCCCTCACAATTCGGAATCCTCCCCTTTCTCTGCTAAGAAATAACAATTAAGTACGACAATAAAAGCTCGAATAATTGGTCCTTGTAATGTTAGTAGTTCGACGATTTTAAGATTCCGTCTGAAAAAGTCAGATGAATTTGTCAGTAAAATTACTAACATCAAAATTCACGAAATCTTCAGAACTTACTCGCTTGGTATTGCTCTTGGTAGGCATTTCATACAGCAACAAAGTGGTGGTACTTGGAAAGTCATTGTCGCTTCTTCATGAGTCAGAGCTGACGACAGTTGCTTACGACTTCCATAAATAAACCTCAAAAGTAGTGACTTCATCCGTTAAACAGCGGTTACCGTAATTATATCTAGGAAGCAGAGTTGAAGGCTTCGATAACTTCAATCAGTCGTTCTGGAATGAGCCACGCGTCCGACTTCCCCTTGGACTAATGGCAGCAATTGAATATCTCCCTTGCCTACACTATGTTGTGCTAGGTCCCCGAACTCCCATCTTAGTGTTTCTGTCGTGCTGATGGAGCGTAATGCTAACTGATTGGAGCAAAGAGACGGAAGAGTTTTTAGCATAGACTGGTTCTGATCAGCCAAGTGCAGTGCAGTGCCTGCCACAACTCTGTCCCCTTGAAAAACTTCTTTGCAAATGGTAGTTCTGGCTGGAGAGAGGGTTGTGTTTCTAACTTTGCAGCAGGTACCAGTTCCTAATTAACAGAAGCAACCAGACCTTCAAGGAAACTCTTGTCGGTGCCACATTCTCAGGTGAAATTTTGCACTCTCTTCGTTTTCTCCTTCCGGTATTTCTCCTTGCCCCTGATTCTCTCTCGCTATTTGCTTGTCCTTTCAATGGGTATGAGCTCTGTCTGCCGCAGAATGGTCTTTGCACTGCTAATTCAAACGATGATCAAACATCAGGGTCCGGTTAATAATACATAGGGCTCAGCACAAATGCAACAACTATACACATGCAGTCAGTCGTAAAGCCCCTATTTGCGCGAAAATCGCGCCATCCGGAAAGTCAAGGTCAACTTATACCATGCAGTAACGTCATGGATTAAAAATATCGCTGGAAAAAAATAAAATACCTGTTACGCGCCTCGCATCCGACTTCTCATTGGGGTCTTTCAAGGGTGTTACTATTGCACATGCCTTATTTTTCAAGGCAAGTGGCACAATAAATCTACAAGTCCTAGAGGGTTTATACGCCTGACAAGAAAGAATCGTGCGTCTTAGCAGGCGCTATCTGCCGCTTTTCTCAACGAAGTACACCACTATGGCGCCCTACCAGGGTGCAACATGTCGACCAAGACGCATCGCAATGGCCCGCCCACAAACGGCCGCACGCACACATTGACGCTGGCACTACTATCGCTGTACTATGAAGTACAATTGATATAAAGCGTTACTTCGTAGATAAATGATTATATGTGTGAAGCATCTATCTAAGCGCTGGTTGGCACGATGCCACTGACAAACTCGTTCAAAAATGCTCGTCCAATGCCGTGCAGAACAAAGGTTTTTCGCAGGTTTTTGCCGTTTAACTTCGCTTTTTCGTCATTTTTCCACTATATAGCACCCTGCTACTATTTTTGAGCAAGTACCAAATTTCGTGCCTCATACTTCTAATCTTTTAGTTGTGAGTACTACTGAGTGATGAACTCAGAGGTTGTTTGACCAGGTCAGACCCATGTGCACAGTACAGGTAGTGACCCCGTTTCCTACACGATTATGCAAGACATATCATCGATGGGAAATCCCGAGGCTTTGCAAGTTTGGGTTCTCGTTCTTCTTCGCCTTCTGCTGCTGTTTGCTCAGCGCCTGGAAAAGGGGAGGGCGCTGAAAGGTCCGGAATTCTGTAGAATTTCCCCATCGTAATTATTTGCCCTGATTTCTTCTCAAACTGGGATTATTCTTGGAAGCAAAACTAGTCTAACGAACTTTGTTACACATATCTCGTGGATAATGGTCGTCGCCGTGC